ATAATTCCTACCTATCTCTTTGCACCACTATGATTATTTCCTCAGGATAAACTCTCAGTAACAGAAGATTTATAAGCTTTTGGCTAATATTGTTATATCTCCCCAAATGTGTCTACAACTTACAGCTCCCACTGGAAGTGTACAGAGTCCCCGTTTCCTTATACTCTCCCCACATTGACAGGATTCTTCCTTTTACACTTGTTATCTGTTTGGTAAAATTTCCTGTCCAAATGTTTAATCTTGCAATTCTTTAATTAGTAGCCAAAATGAGCATTCCTTATATCTTCTATTCCTTTGTGTTTCCCTGCTTTTTCATGGGACCGGGACTGGCAACGGGATCGCAACCCGTTTTGAGCTTTTTCATAGTTTGTTCATGTCCTTTGCTCATTTTTCAATTGGTGTGTTCTTATTTCTTTGCCAGAGTTCTTTATAAGAAGGTTATTAGTTCTTTGCTTGTTACATACAAATATTTTCTATTTGTTATTTTGCTTTTAAGTTTGTTTATGGTGTTTATTATTTGAATAAATTAAAAAAAATTTGATGTAGTAAAAACTATCTTTATTTCCCCTATTATTTTTTCTCTTGGTGTTATTCCTAGAAAGATTTTTCCCTCACCAAGATTATAAAAGCATTACTCATGGGTTATTTTAGATTTTCACGTTTAAAATGCTTACTTTTTAAACCCAACTAGAATTTACTTTTATAATTAGTTGTGGGTGTGATCTAATATTTTTTTCAAATGGCTAAACAACTATTCCAACACCATATACTGACTAATTCATTCTTTTCCAACTTATTTGAAATTTTATATAGTTTATGTATGTTATTCTGGTTCCAGTGTCATATTGTTCTAATTATCAAAGTTTTATATTATGTTTTAATATCTGACACTAGATATTTCTCTTCATTATTACTGATATTTTCCTAATTATTCTCATATTTATTTTTCCTAAAGAGCCTTAAAATTGTCATCTTCCCTGAAGTTGCTGGCTAAAGAAATTACCACTTTGGTAGAAAGCAGTAAAAAATATGAGGGTGCTTCAAAAAGTTAGTGGAAAAATGTAACTAAAAGACAATACGAATGTCTCCATGGACTCCTTGAAGACCCCTCGTAGATGAAGTGTAGCCTCCTCTTTTCCTCTGCTCCCCTGGGTTAGCTGCCATTGCCTCATGCCTGCTCAGCACATTTGAATCCCTCTTGGCTTCCACCTGCCCCGGGACTTTCCACGGGAGAGCCCTGCTGCTCTCTGGGAGATCCCCTCTTCCTCCCGCCGTCTCTCAGCTAGGTCACATAACCCCCTAACTCTGCCCCTCACAGCTGTCCTTTAGTGCCACTGAGCTGTAGCCCCTAAATGACTCCAGCACAGGGCTCCCTGGAATATCCCATGCCCTGTTCTCACCCACGGCCCTCACGGTGCGACTTCTACGAGGCCATGTGGCTTTCCCAGGGGTGGAATTATAAGCTGGCACTTGGCATTTATGCTTAATCTCCTCGTGTGCTGGGAATCCCTCGAAGATTCTAGTATTTGGGTGGCCTCTTTCCTCGGCCCCCCTCCCAGTGCAGGTCTATGCCTGTTTTTACATTTCTTCAATAGCTTTCATTGGGATTGATGGAGGAAGGGGAGACGGCTAATGTTTACTTCTAAGCTTTCATCTTTCCCAGAAGCTACTGAAGATGATTATTTCCCAAGTGCCTTCCACTGAGCCGCTATTCATTTAGTAGTAAGGGAAGAAATTGGTTTACATCTTTACGAGAGTTTCGTATTTGTTGCTGCCTTTCCTGTAACTCAGGACGCTGTTCGTAATTACTCAGTATCTCCTAGAACGAGTCATATTTCCCAAGAGCAAACAATTGTCTTTTTACCTCACGAATATGGTGATGCATGTAGCTGACCATGTCACCTTCCTGGCCATGGGTCCCAAACCTCCACCTCTGGCAAGCATCCTGGGATACCTCTTGAGCAATTTCATATACTCTCTCTCTCTTCACTTCTCTTTATTCACCTTAAAATACTCTGGCATAGGTGTCTTTCTGTCCAACACATTCCATCCTTTTTGGAGTCATCTGGGCATACATGAATAATGGGTGAATAAGTGTGTCACGCCTTTGTACACACATATGATAAAATGTCTCTCCCATTCCTCCTGCCTCATTTTCCACCTTCTCTTTCTTGTCTAGGGTGTGACAGAACTGAGAAAACTTGGTGCGGGTCTCACACCTTCCCAGAAGAAATAAATAAAAAAATCAATGCCCCAAACTTATCCATCACCTCCAAAAGTTTACTCCTGCTCCTTTAGTTTTGTTTTTTCCTTCTGTGATAAGAGCACCTAATATAAGATCTGCACTCTTAGCAAATATTTAAGTATACAATACAGTATTGTTAATTACATTCCCTATCTTGTACAGTAGATCTCCAGAACTAATTTATCTTGCATGACTGAAATAAATTAATTTTAATTGCACACAAAACACAGACACATTCTTCATATGAGAATTAACACCTCACTTATATGAGGGTACTTCAAAAAGTTTGTGCAAAAATAGAATTAAAGGATGATACGGTTCTTTCTGTGAACTTTTTGCAGTACCCTCGTAAGCTCCTGTGGTAGCTACTGCTAGTCTAGCTCCCATTCCCAGAAGGCAGGACTGAGATCCAGCTGGTGTGCATCCTTGTAGACAATTGTTATTTTTACAGCTCTCTTTTTGTGTGCCCTTTCCTTCTGCCTCTCTCTCTTTACACAATATCTAACATTGCTTTGAGTTTTCGTCTTTACGTTAATGTTATCATACTGCATACATTATTGTGCATGCTGTTTTTTATCACGCAACATGTGACGTGAATGTGTTCATGTCGCTGTCCATGACTGTTCCACCTCCACACTGAGAGGCAGGATATATGGAGACTGAGGACCCCTGAACTCGACCCAGACCCCTGCACTTACTGGCTGTCTGACCTTGGGCAAATTACTCTAATTCTCTGAACAGCAATTGCTTGACTGCAGAATGCAGACAATAATAGAATCTACCTCACACAGCTGTAGTGAAGATCAAAGTATTTACTGTAGGTAAGAAACTTAGAATCATGAATGGTGCATAATCTGCAATCAACAAACACAAGCTACTGAAACTCCTGCTCTAATTTAACCATTCCTCCATTGAAACACAGCAAGGTCAGCACTGAATTCATGCCATTCTAAGCAATGCCACAACATACAAAATGTGTGTGTACATGCACACGTGTGGGCGTTTCTCCAGAACAGATACCAAGAAGTAGAATTTCTATGTCAAAGGGCTGCACATTTCATATTTCAGAAAGTATTCAAAGTATCTGTGTCAATAGTAAATGAAATTATCATATCTTCCCACCTTTTTGCAGTTCTTTGATGACATTCATTATACTTATTCTGAAGTTCTGCTTGCTCTATTAAATTTGCTTTCTTAGATGCAAATTCTGCAGAATGATACTTTAAATGTTTTACCTGCTTTCCACAGTTTGGCTTTTGTGACTTTTTAAATGACATTTGATTGCACCTCATCTTTGTAGTCAAGATTGCCTGTTAGATTCTTTCTTTCATCAGTTTTCACAGTAGGCTTGAGGGAGGGTAGGACATGTCACTAAACACTGGGTTCTGGCTTGCCTTTCGGGACGTGGAGGAGAGAGGACCCTGCCTGTGGGCAGGCAGTCAGGCTTGTGCATATGTACCCACCACCACTCTAGGGCATTATTGCTTCTCAGGACCCCACTCTGTCTCTTCAAATCCAGCATCACCACTAAGACCCCCTACTTGTGAAACAGAGCTCCCTACACCCCCATAGTGTATGCTATGTGCTTCTGTAGAATTGCTTGCTTAACCTAAGTAACTCTATTTTGCCCCCTGTCTGACCTGCAGACTACCTCCCCTTCCGCATGAGAAACTGTTGACCTTCTCATAGAAAAAAAAACATTGCATAGAAACAGGAGCCATACAGTGAATTATTACATGGGAACAGGAACCATACACAGTGAAAACTTGTATGCTTGGTTGCTCGAACGGCTGATTCTTGGCCTCTGTGACCTCGCTCCCTAGCTTGCTTGGTGCACCTGGACAAACCCATGTGCCAATGGGATGTAGTTTTTGTCTTTAAAAACCCCACAAGACTAAAGCCCAATGCTGCTCTTCCTTGGTTGCTCCTTGGGAGATGGACGCTGCCAGCTGGAGGGAATAAACTGCCCTCTTCTGCACGAGTGGCGTGGAAGTGCGTTTCTTGTGGGAGGGGCCTCACAACACTTGGAAGCAGAGACCTCCGTCCCTGCTGCCTGTCTGGGATGGGGGAGGGAAGCAGGGAGGGAGACAGGCTGTGAAGAATCACCCTTCCGTTGCTGTGGGTCCTCTCCTATCCTGGGTTTTTACGTCGTCTATCCAGGAAGGGCTCTTAACACATCTTTGGCAGTGCTGTGGCATCATCTGGGGGCTGTGTGGGTTTAGCCTTCCCTCTGACTCATTGGCTTCCTTCTTTCAGGAATCCCTCACCATTTCTGGGTCAAGGAGGGTTACCTTGTTTCCAGTAGGATTGTCAATTAAAAAAAGATTGTCATCTTTTCAATTATTTATATGGTTTTGGGGCAAGGAAGACATGGCGCTTGCTTCTGGAAGATGAGCAAGTTGAACTGGGAATGCTCATTTCTTTGGGCAGGTGAGCATGTCAACACTGCTCTAAAAGAAAAAGTGGAAGCATTAGTGTCCAGGTGAAGGGTCACAAAGTGGGTCCAGCAAGCCACCTCCTCAGGGGTCTGGGCCATCAGCATTTTCCCAGGAGCCCAAGTTTCCTTGTCTGCATCTTTTTGGACAATCAGACCCATAAAGTAGGGAAGGAGGTGAAGGGAGAGATGAAGAGGACAGGTGGAGGAGAAAGGAGGCTAAAGAGAACCATTATCAAGAGCAAAATATTAGAGAAAACAATCCCACCCCCCACCCAAGAATGACTCCTCCCGAAAAAGCACCTGGTCGAGCCAGCTCACCTCCTTGCAGGAACTTCATGGGGTAGACGATGGCATGGTATCTGTCTATGCTGAGGGACACAAGGACGTAGGTAGAGGCGTAGAGCAGCACGACCTGAAGACAGAAACGAGAGGAGGTGCGTGAAGTCACAGAGGCGTTTTGTGCTGTTCAGAAACCTGGGAATTGAACCAAGGTAGGGACGAGGGCTGGGTTAGGGAGGACAATAACCGACTGTGCACTCCAGCAAGCAGATGGCAGGTCTTGGTGCTGGGATTTGCATTGCTCTGGGTGACGGGTGGGAATGTGTCCAGCTCATACTTACTCACTCGTTCACTCGGCTTCTTGGAAATTTCATATTTCAGGATTAGTCTCTCTTGACATTTGCATGGAACATTTGTTTGTATTTGACTTGTAAAGCTAACCCAAGTCTCTCTGCCACAGTTGACATTCCAGAGTAATTAGAAACAAAAGTTCATTTGCCTTTTATCACTGTGAGTTGTTGAGAGATGATGGAAGGTTCTGGTTTCAGGGAGTCCGTGTGCCGCTTGCATCGTTCATCGTCTTCAGCTCCGGCACCGTCCGAGTCCCCTCCCCACCCACTGCTCCAGCAGGCTGTGCACGGATCCGTCCCTGGCTTTCTGCTTCCTTCTCACTCTCTCCTTTATTAACATTTCCCGTGCCCTTTAATTATCTGGCATACAGTATTATTTGCATACTTTGCAGAAAAGGAAATTGGAATAAAAGAAGTTAATATCACCTATATGATGAGCATATTTAGAATGTAATTAAATGACATATCTCTGAAAGGATGATCAAGGTAACTGGGAGCCTCATTTCTACCAAGACTCCAGCTATATCTCTGCTTTGGAAATTTAGGACTGAATCTAGGGCGGGTAGAAGAGTAACCTGAAGAGTGAAGTCTAAGGGCATGCCACTGACTTTCTCCTCGGAAATCACTTTTGGTCTGAATTTCTACCTTTTTGTCTTTTCCCTGGTTCAGACAGATAATAACCAATCACATCATCATTTTTATTATTTTTATTTCTACAACACTACCACAAATGCATCTGAGCACTAATGTTGTGGAAGGTGCCCTAGGGAGGGGGTGAGAAGTGATAAGAGATTGAAGGCTCCCCTGAGGGATAGAAGAAGAAATCCTCCTCTGGTGAAAGGATGGTAAGCAAAGGAGAAAATGAGTGGCTGGGCTTGAGAAAAAAACCCAGACAATCGTCTCCGTAGAGAAGACTGTGATTTCTGTGTGTGATACGTGAATCCAGAATGACGAAGCTGGCACGTACAGTTGAGGAGGTGGCATCAGAGAAGGATGGGAGAGAGGGCACCCGACGGGGTGGAATGTCACGGCAGGAAGGTCACGGGAAGTTGGGACATCTGCAGCTGACTTGAGTGAGGCGGGTGACACAGTTCAGGATGGGGTTTGAGGAAGAGTCACAAAAAAGGGAGTCCAGAGAAACAGACAAGGTCGAGGAAAAGAGAAGAACGTGGAAATACAATCAAAAAGAGTATTTAATTTCAGAGATGAAACATCTTCAAACATCCAGGCAGGGTACAAAAATGAAAGACTACCCCCCCCCCAAAAAAAGGGCCCCAAATGGTTGGGACTTTACGTGGCACTTCACCACATAAATAAAAGTCAGAAAATTGTGTGACATGTTTAGAGTAAAAAGAATTGCGGTCCAAGAATTTTGTAAATTTTCTTAGATATATAACAAGAAAGAAAATAGAACATCACATACTTTTCCTGAAAATCATCCTTGAGGAATTACTTCAATTGATTGAGAATTGCTTCAAAATTAAGAACTCAAGAAGAGGAAAGGGGATAGAATATTTACAACTACGGAAAGTAATAAAGTTGTTTACAAAATAACTGTGAATATAGTTGTGAAATATTTCAGGGAAGAGTCTGGGGAGTTGGAGGAAGGAAGAGAGTAAAAAGAAAGAAATCATGTTAAATTTCCATTTGGACATGTTAGATATCTCTTTATCTTTTACTTTGAAAAAGATAAACTAAGTCTAAAAATTAAAGATAAGCTTTGATAGAATAAAATAACAATGGAGAAAAATTAATATATTAATTTCCTATGGCTACTGTAAAAAAAATTATTACCAACTTGGTGGCTTAAAACAACATAGATTTATTCTCTCACAGTTCTGGTGACCAGAAGTCTACAATTCAATTCTACTGGGTGAAAATCAAGGTGTGGGCAGGGCCGTGGTCCCTCCGGAGGCTCTAGGAGAGAATCCATTCCTTGCTTCCTCCAGCTTCAGGTGGTGCCAGCTCTCCTTGGACTGTGGCCACATCGGTCTAATCTCTGCCTCTGTGGTTACAGTGCTTACCCTTCTCTGTCTCTGTGTCAAGTCTCTCTCTGCCTCCCTCTTATGATTACATTTAGGACCCACTGGGATAATCCAGAATAATCTCCCCACCTCAAGATCTTTAACTTAATTACATATGCAAAGTCTTTTCTTGCCACATAAGGTAACATACACAGGTTCTAGGGATTAGGATGTGAATAATTTAGGGGAGTATTTTTTTAGCCTACCACAATTAATAACCAAATGGAAAGAAAAAAAACAAGTAAACCACAAGAAAAACAACATAGAAAGATTAAAATGAGGTGACTGAAATAACACCAAATACTATTTGTCACAATAGATATGAATGGTTTAAGCTCTTTCTCTAAAACAAAGACTATTTAAAAAAACATTTTCCCTAAAAGGCAACTGTATAACTGCTTGGAAGACTAACCTCTAAATCAAATGATATCAAAGTTTAAAAATAGAAGGATGGCCATTTAGCTCAGTTGCTTAGAGTGTCGCCTTATAACATCAAGGTCCGGGTTTGGATCTCCAAACTGGCCAGGCACCAAAAAACTAAAAGAAGGCATTCATTACAAGACTGCTATTAGACAACTAAATTCAAGGCAAACAGAATTACATGCCATAAAGGGATTATTTGTATTGATAAAAAAACACTATACAACGGCAATAGAATATTCATAAATTAATATGTAACAAGTAACATAACACTAAATATATATAACAAAAATGCTCACAGTTTTACAGAGGAAAATACAAAAATATATAGATTGAAAAAAAAATTTTAGATAGAAAAAATTAAACAAACTTTATTACATAAGAATAATACAAATTATTGTAAAACATCTAGATAACATTTCAAAAATTGGTCATATACTGAACAACCAAGAAAGAAAACCTCTCAATAGATTCAGAAAAGTAGAAGTTATGCAACTCACACATTTAAAACAATAAGCAATGAAGCTGAAATTAGTAACATGTTTTTTAAAAAAATACTACTTGGAAATTTAAACACCCTCATAATTAACTCAAGTCAAGAAGGAAATCAAAGTACAATTATAGTCAATTTATAAATGTCAACAATGAACACTCTACACATCAACAACATATGGGACACCATTCGGAGAACAGATGGCGACTCGAGGACATATGTCTGAATTCTCACTGCCCCACCCCTTAATTCTGACAGAAATGACCTAGGAAATATGAAACTAAAGAAAATCTTGCACAGAAAAGTGAGACTTAAATGCTGGAAACAGAGAAATTTTACTAGAAAAATGCCAGATTGGAAATATTTTTTATTTTTAAATTAAATTGATTTATTTGTTTTAGTCCACACATTGTAATTTTACATATATATGGGGTACAATCTAATATTTTGATACATATGTATGTTGTATAATGATTGGGTCAGGGTAGTTAATGTACTTTATTTTCTAGGATAATTTTATATTTACAGAAAAATTCGTCACAGAGTTCCCATATTATTCCTCTTCCACCCACACACTTTCCCCTATTTTTAACATCTTGTAATGGTGTGGTACATTTGTTAAAACTGATGAACTAATATCGATACGCGATTGTTAACTACAGTTCATCATGCATATTAAGGCTCCCTGTTTGTTTTGTGCAGTTCTATAGGTTTTGACAGTTGCGTGATGTCAAGTATCCACCATTACAGGACCAGGCAGAAGAGTTTGACTACACTCCCCTGTGCTTTACCTACTCAACCTGCCCCCTCCTGCAAATCCCTGGCAACCACTGATTTTTTTTATTGCCCTACAGTCTTGTTTTTTTTGAGAATATAATACAGTTGAAATCAAATAGTATGTAGGCTTTTCAGACTGGCTTCTTTTACTTAGCAATGTGCATTTAAATTTTTTTTTGTCTTTTTGTGGCTTGGTAGCTCATTTTGTCTTATCACTGAGTAATATTCCATTGTATAGTTGTACCACAGTTCATTTATCCATTAAGCTTTTGAGACCCATTTTGGTTGCTTCCAGTTTTTGGCAATTTTGAATAAAGCTGATGTAAATGTTCTCGTGTAGGATTTCCTGTAAACATAAATGGTCAACTTAATTGGGTAAATATCTAGGATCACAATTGTAAGTCGGTTTGGCTTTGTAATTGTCTTCCAAAGTGGCTGTACCATTTTGCATTCCCACCATCAATGAATGACAGTTCCTGCCAATCAACATCCTCACCAGCATCTGGATTTCGGTTTTTGGATATTAGCCATTCTATTAGGTACCTAGTGGTAATTTCATTTTAATTTGCAATTCCCTCATGACATATGACGGTGAATATCTTTTCGTATTCTTTCTCACCATCTTCTTTGGTGAGGCATTTGTTCAGATCTTTTGCCCACACGTTTTTTTTGTTTGTTCATTTGCTTGTTTTTTTTTTTTTTTTTTTTTTTTTTTATTGGCTGGTTGGTATGGGGGTCTGAACCCTTGACCTTGTTGTAACAAAGCTGCTCTCTAAACAGCTGAGCTAACTGGCTAGTTCCTTTTGATATAATTTTTAAAATTTATTATTAGCATATTCATTCTTACAAACAGTGATATTTCTTTATGCCCTTTGCCCGACCCATCACTTCCCAAACCCTCTCCCTACCTCCCCCCCAAATCTAGAATCCTTAGGATTGTTCTCTCCTTCTGAAAGTTCAACGTCTTGTTGTGGTCCTTTTTTTTCATTCTGTCCTTCATTCCTTCCTTCTTTCCTTCTTCCCTCTCCACCCTCCCTCCCTCCATTCCTATCTTCCTCTCTTCTTTCCT